GTCTCAGAGCCCAAGCAGGGCTCAACTGGCAGTGCAAGACACATGAGGAGTGGCAAGAGGGCTTAAGGGACGCAGAGAATTCAAAGATAGAAGAATTTGCCAACTCGTAACCCTAAGCGAGTCTCTGTAAGACACCTCCAGAGCAGGTGGTAAACATCCAAGGGATGGCTCACATGTGATTTCATACGGGGGAGGGCATGTGCTCGGCCGAGTGCCACATTCCCATGGCAGGGGGCCTTTGCCCGTGGGCGATTCCTTGGCTGAGACCCACAGATGTAGGAGATGCCTGTTTATCTTCGGGGGCCACCGTGCCTTCTTGAGCTGTCCTTTGGCCAGAGATTGTCTGACAGTCCCTTGAGCTGGCTCCTGGCCCGGGTTACTTGCCAGCCGGGCTGCTGCTTTCCTAGACCCATCAGAGAGAGCATGTGCAAAACTCTGCCAGCTATAAAATAGGGTCCAAGAACTTGCTCACGCTGCTGGAGCTAGGACCCAGTGCAGGCCACTGAAATGCCCACTAGTCCACTGGGCATGCTCCAAGGCATCTCAGCTCTGAGTGTCTTCCACTGCTGGGCAAAACAAACGAAGGCAGCTAGAAGCTCACAATAGGTCCCATGATGGCATATAGCTATCCACCCTTCCTTCCTTCCTTCCTTCCTTCCTTACTTCCTTCCTTCCTTCCTTCCTTCCTTCCTTCCTTCCTTCTTTCCTTCCTTCCTTCCTTCTTCCCTCCCTCCCTCCCTTTCTTCCTTTTCTTTCTTAGATGGCACTGGGGATTGATCCAGGGCTTTTGCATTCAGTCACATCTCCAGCTGTGCCCTCCCTAGAGTCTCACTAAATCACTAAATTGCCATGCTGAGTTTGAACTTTGAATCATCCTGCCTCAGCCTCCCAGAGTGCTGGGACTACAGGTATGTGCCACCACACCCAACCATGATGACATGCTTCTGAGGCTCACATGTTTAGAGGGAAGAGCCATGGGGCAGGCTGGGCCATGGATGGGGTCATGGCCCAGGAAACTGGGCAGCAGAATATAGGCTATAAAACCAGCAGGGAGAAAGGGAGGAGGTGCCTTTATACATAAATGCCTGTGGAAGGGTCACTTCTTGGTAGGAGGAAAGAAGCCAAGAACAGAAAATACAGAGATGCTGAAAGGAAAAACAGCCACAGGGTGGGGACTCTTGCTCTACCAGATTCTTCCTTACTGCTATGGGAAAGAGCCTCTGATCGCGCACAGTCAACAGGAGATGTGGGGGTTCCTCAGACAGGGTACCTCCAACTGACTCCCTCAGTGATGCCCCAGCTTAGTCATGGCCTCACCAGTGCCCCTGAAGGCAAATGAGCTCCAGGACCCGGGCCAGTTCTCTACCTTCCCTAGGGCCCCTCTGCACCTTTTAGGAAAGACCAGGCCTGGTCAGATACAGAGGGTGGGGTACAGTGGGGATACGAGGGGCTCAAGTCAGGAAGGAACCATCAGCTGGAGAGGGAGGCCCAGCAAGCACCGGAGGAGGGCCAGCCCCGGCCAGTCACTTTAAGGTGTCATCAGTGTTTTTGAACATGAGAATGGCGTTATAGATCTTCAAGGCTGGGCCCAGCTTGACGCTCATGATCTTCACAATGTCCGCCTGTGTCAGCAAAAGGAAGGCCTCGCCGTCAATCATCTGAGGGGTCGGGAAGGGAGGTGGAGAGGGGAGAAGGCGGAGAGGGTCAAGGGGAAGGGGTGAAGGACAGGTGAGGACGTGCGCAGGGGGGGGGAAATGTGGGAGCCAAGGTGTCACATGTGGGGGAAGGGAGGGAGAAGTGAGGGGAAGAGGAGGACACGGAGAAAGGAGGAAGGGGAAGAAAGGAGAAAAGGAAGACAGCATGGGATGGAGAAGGAACGAAAGATAGCCACTGGCTCCCCGGAGTCACACGCATGTACTCGCACTCCCTTTCCCTCTCCCTCTCCCTCCCCATCCCTCTCTCGACTAGGACAAAATGAAAATGAGCAGCTAGTCAACCACCTTGTAAATGTTTCCCAGACCCCCTGTAAGCTGTGTAAGCACCTCCAAATCAACGAGTATGATTAACATCTTTGAAATGTCAAAAGCAAAAACACCAAAAAATCCCTGCTGTTGCTATCCCCAAATGAACCCCCTCAGTCTTAGTGCTGCTAGCGGCTAACGGTGGGACAGGAGGACACTGTGTACGTCCCGTGGGATTCCAGTGTGATGCAGTATGAGGGACACTGTGTTGCCTGACCTACTTTTGCCAAAAAACAGAGAGAGGGGGAGAGAGAGAGACAGAGACAGAGACAGAGACAGAGAGAGGAGAGAGCGCGAATGAGAAGCTGATTTAACCTAAACCTAACCAAGACTCTGGATCTGACCTTCAGTTTATAGAAAATACAAGCAACAGAGGAACAAGTGGAGCGACATCACAAGGAAACAAGACAAGTCCAAGAGAACATTCTACAAGACTCTAAATATCATGAAAAAAGAAAAAAAAAGTGGGGGGGCACTATCCTAGAATGATCTCTAGGAAACATATCGACAAAAATCAGTTATGTGGGCCTTGTTTGAATCTGACTCAAAAACTGCAAAAAAGGTTTTGAGGCAAGTAGGGGGCTTTGAATACAGTCTGGGTATGGGATGGTGCCAAGGAGCTACTGTCAGTCTGTTAGCGGGATTACAGTACTGAGGTGATACAGAGAGGTCCTTAGTTTTAGAGATGCAAGCTAAAGTACACAGGGATGACATGTTGGGCCTGTAACTTAACATTACTTTGTCCGAAAATAGGTGAAGCAAATCTGGGAAACGGTGATCGCTGTGAATTCTAAGGGACAGATATACAGGTAGAGTTAGGAAGGGGAGAGCCCAGCTGTGGAGGTGAGTGAGGACACCCAGGGCTAGGCACTTGTGCAAGGGAAACCCATTCAAATGCTTATGAACGGACAACTGTGGTACACTCATACCACAGGGCACTAATCAACAATAAACAGCTATGAGCGCACATACTCACATGGAAAGACCTCGACAACATTATACTGAACAAAAAGATTCAGAAGAGTACACGGTATCCGATTCCTTTGATACAAGTTCAAGAATCGACAAAGTGAGTCTATGGGGCTAGAAATCAGAACAGTGGCTGCATCTGGAGTGAGGACTGACTGACTAAAAGGGGCATGGGAATGTTTTATATCTTGATTGAAGGGCTGGGCTCAAGTGCACCGTCCTAAAACTTGTGACACTATATGTGCTTTTAAGATGAGCCCTTCCTCAGTCTCCTCCTCTTCTTCTTCCTTCCCTGCTTCTCCCCTAGCCGCGCCCTGGTGGGAAGGCTCGAGAAAGGCCTGCTCAGGTGGGCGCGTCACCTGACTCTGTGGGCTGGGGGGCACCACCCCGGACCAGAGGAAGAAACCAGCTGCGCTGGGCCTGGATGAAGACAGGGAAAGACGCATGGACTCTTTACGGACATCTGACCCGGAGTGGGCAACTTGGGGCACCTAAGTCTTGGGCGGCGGTGGATATATAGAAGGGACATTTGTATTCTTTGGAAAAAAGCCCTACACATGAAACTCAAAGGTCCCATACGCAATGCATGAACCATTGTTACCCTCCTATTATCTTGTTTTGAAAGTTTGTTTTATTTTTTTCTCTTTAAAATAAAAAAAAGAGTTTTACCTCAAACCTAAATAAATAAACTCAAAGGTGCCTTCCAGTTCAAATTCTACAATTAGGAGAGTCAGAGTATAGTTCTTTATTTAAGGGCAACTGTGTCCTAAGAGTCAGAACTACCATTTATAGAGCTCCCACTGTGCCCAAACTTCTCACACAGTAATATAATTTATATATTGCCCTACCATAGTGATGCATAGCTATCAGTACTTACATATTAATCAGCAATATTGTAAATATCACTGTACTTGGGGATATATAAATATCACTATATACCAACATGCACATATTATAAGTTACACACTTATACACAGCTGTATGGTGTATATACATATGGATACACACATATATGTTTACACACACAGTAGTGATAAGACATTATGGTATAATGAGTCCTCCTCCTTTCCAATGCTTATAATGACCCTGCGAGTTCATGCTCATTATACCCACTCTTTCTCCATATATTTTATTTATTTATTTGTCTTTTTGAGACAGGGTCTCACTATGCAGCTCAGGATGATTTCAGCTCACTTTGTAGCCCAGGCTGGTCTCAAACTTGCAATGATCCTCCTGCCTCAGCCTCCCAGGTGCTGGGATTACAGGCCTGTGCCACCATGCCTGGTTTTGTCTTTATCTTACAGGCAAGATGAAGGCTTGAAGACAATAAACAGCTCAAATTGGGAGCAGTGGAATTCCAACACAGACTGTTGCCAAAGCTGGGATTATTTACCCATAATTCATTGTTTCTTATTTTTGCTAAGCTCTGGGTTTTGACTAGAAGTATGTATTAGGATCTTTGCAATTAATAGTAATAACTGTGCCATTCAAATTATCTTTTTTTTTTTTGGTACTCGGAATGAAACTCAGGACTGTGCACTTGCCAGGCAGGCACTTGTGCCACTGAGCTGTATCCCCACCCTTCAAAATACCTTTGTGCTGGGGATGTCACTCAGCAGTAGAGTGCACGCTGAGCTGGTGTGAAGCCTGAGTTCAATCCCCAGCATCAAATCAAACCAAATCAACAAAAACACAAACAAAAACCCACTTTAATTTACTGACTACCAATGATGAGGCTAAGTTTGGCAAACGAAAGACTGGGCAGAAAGCAGAGGAGTGAATGGGTTCCTGTCTCTAGGATGTGCTTTCATTCCTGAAGAGGATCTGAACTACAGTGTTCCCAAGCTGGGCCACAGTCCATACCAGATTCTTCCCAGAAGAACAGGTCATTAGGACTAGTCTCAGGGGAGTAACAGATACCCCTCCCTTCCTGGGTGGGGCACTTGCTTCCTGTCATCTCAACGACACAGTGACCTTGTCACTGCGGTCCCTTCTGTACTTGCTCCTTACCTCATCCTTGAAGAGGCGTGCTTGGTCCTCACAACCTGTCAGGGTCTGAACGAAGCCAAAGACCTTGGAAACCAAAGAAGATGCGCTGACCCGGCGCTGGGGCTGGGAGTGTGGGGCAAGGGCTGGCCTCTGGCTGTGCCAGCGCAGCCTTTCTCATTGGACTTGGAGCTTGCTCGCATCTTTGTGCTGGCCGGTGTGTGAGGGGAGGCCCTTTGCTCCTGAGGCCCAGGACTAGTGCCTATCTCCTTGCTGGATTTCCAGCTCAGTGGGCAACATGCCTCCCCCTGCCCCATAGGCCCAGTGTCTCAGTCAGCCTTGCTGGGCGGCTGGAAGGGACAGTGGACAGGAGTGATAGTCAGGAGAACGGTGCTCCACCTGACCAGGGCCTTTCCTGAGTACCCCACCACCACCACCACCACCAGGCTGTGGTGAGAGGGAGGAGCAGGGGAGGAAGAAGAGGAGGCGGCTGTGAAAAGCTCCTCACCTCCTCGATGGTCCACTTGGAGACGGCGGAAGCTGAGATGCCAGCCACTCCCGGCAGGAGCTTGCAGTGCTGCTCCCAGCATATGGACAGTGAGCGGTCAGGGTGTGTCGACAAGGCCGACATGAAGAAGGACTGCTGCATGACATCAGGAGCGAGGGCTGGAAAGCAGAAAGGCCAAGGGCCGATGCTGCAGACAGTCTGAACCCCAGAGCCAGCCCACACCCACACCCGCACCCACACCATGCGGAGAATGGCCATCAGAGAGGACAAGACTAGTGGCCTCTTCCAATAGCCTGCAGAACCACCAGGGTGACCAGTCCTCTGATTCCCTGCCTGGAGCTCGCTAGTTCTTCATGAGTGGGTTCCTCACTTACAGACCCTCCGGCCAGCTGTGTGGTGTGACACTCAGGCCAGTTCTCTCAGGTTGCAGCACCTCAAGAGACACTGTTCTCTAGACGCCTTGCATCAAAGTGGTCCCCAACACGCAACAAGCTCAGCTCTGATGTCAGAGAAGTGTTCTGTTTGTCCTTCTTTCCTGAGTGCCTTTGGCCTGACCAGCTCCCCCAGAGCCACGGTGATTCTGGGGCCTGTCTACTCTGGCACTACAGGGCGAATGGGCCTGCTCCCTAAGCCCACACTGCCTGGCACTTCCTGCTCTGCTCACGAAGCCCCAGTTCCTGGCCACCAGCCTTACACTGGCTACATGGATCCCATGACTGACGCTGCTCGGCACGGTCAGACCGGCAGTTGCCCACTGGGACTTCCCCCACTCCACCTGAGGGCCTGCATGTGAGGGCTCTCCTCCCCACCACCTCTGTTCATCAGCCCCAACCTGGGTACCTGCCCGCCTAAACAGCCCTCCTTCGTGTGTCGAAGGAGCTGCTTTCCCTGCAGGTCAGCCACCTTCTCTCCAGACCCAGTGTGGCACACTCAGAGACCTACCCCCACCTGGCCACACTTTGGCCTCTCATCCACCCAGGGGCTCGCTCTTTGAAGCCCTGCGTCTGGGCCTCCTCACAGACTCGCATTGGCTTGGGGGATAGCCTCAGGTCTGTTGGTGGCTTCCTGTCTTGTCTGTCCTCCTAGAGCCCAGCCAGGCTCTCACAGGCCACCACAGCTTCTTACCTAACCACTGCACCACAAGTGAGAAGCGGTTCCCCTGGTTCTTTCAACATCTGAACTTCTGGAGCCTCAACAGGAAGCCAGCCAAGCCCTGTCCTTCCCGGGCAACCCTCCTTAAAGAATAGGTCAGCAGTGAACCCATGGCCCACGCTGAGGAAGCCTTCCATGGCGTGAGCGAAGTCTTCTCCAGGGGGTTAGAGTGACCAGTGTCCCTTCTGGGCAAAAGCCGGCTGGTAGAGCAGGGGGGCCCTGCACAGAGGTCACAGGCCTCCACTCTGTCCCTGAAGGACCTCAAGGCCCTGGGTGTTTCCTCCCTTCTCTGGGCCACAGTCTCAATGGTAGAAAAGACTTATTTCCCAAGAATTCTAGTCAGCTGGGAGGTGCCCTCTGGAGGCACAGCTTGGTCCTGCAAGGAAGCTGAGCAGGGGCACCATGATGGGCAGATGTGGTTTCAACTAGAGTTCTTATCCCTAAAAATCTTCACCTGAGGGCCTACAAGCTGGCCAGGACCCTCCTCACTCAGGCCTGAGGCTGCAGGATGTGCTTTCTGTTTCCACCAACAGGAAACAGTATGAAATGGCAGCAAGGAGGAGCTAGCCAGAGATGCAGATTGATAATTATTCTTGTGGTACCTATGCTATGCACTGCACATGACTGCATCATTTAGGCTTCCTGCCACACCATGCAGGGGGCTCTATCACTGTTAGCAGATGACAAACTAGGACACTGAGGCACAGGAGATTTGGACATCCCACGAGACACCAGGGATGCTTGCACACAGAAGTCAGACCATTCAAGGACACAGTGGGAAGGCGGCCATCCGCAAATCATGGAGAGGCCTCAAAGAAACCAATCCTCTTGGCACCTTGATTCCAGCCTCCAGAGCTGGAGATAAACGCCTGTTGCTTAAGCCACCCAGTCAGTGGTATTTTGTAATGATGGTCCGTGCAAACGAGGCCAAAGGGGATTGAGAAGTGAACTGACATTTGGGTTGGGTGCTCGTCTGTTACGCCAGCCACATGTGGCTGAAGTTAGGTCCAAGTGAATCCTGGTTCAGCCCCTCACAAGGCAGATGACCTTGCACAAGTGATTTCTCTGAGCCTTGCATTCCTCCTCTCTCAGACACATTACAGGATGCTGGTGGGACTAGAGCACTCGGCGCGGTGCTGGGCCCAAGGCAGGTGCTCAGAAACAGTGGTAGCAACTTACTCTAGGTACTGACTTGAAAGATAGGTTTTGCCCATGTGTTCAACTGAGGAAACTGAGGCTCAGAGATTTTAAGTGACTTGCTCAGGTCACACAACTAAAAAATGACTGCCACGGTCTCCTTCCGAGGAAGCCTAGGAGCAGAGCAGAGCAGAGCAGAGCAGAGAGACATCAACCTGCCTCAAAATGGAGAATCGCAGAGTGAGAGCAGCTTGGTGCTTCTGCCACAGACTCACAGCGGGCCACGGACCTGGAACCCAAGGTCACTCAAGGTCCCGCCCTGCGCTCTTGGCACTGCTCTAGGTTCTCAGGGAATCTCAGAGGCAGCTTCCCTGCCAGCTTCTCCCACTCCAGGCACCCCTGGTGTCTCATCCCACTGACTGCTGACCCTCATGCGAACACCCGGTGGAGGACACAGGCGCAGAGGACCCGGGCTTACTCTGGAAATCTTCCTGTGGACTCTTCCGATACTTTGGAGGGCGTCCAATCCTGGAGAGAGAGGGACCAGGTCCAGGTGCGGGGTCAGGACAGGAGGCCCGGCCCCCAGGAAGCCCAGGTCCTGACACCCCTTGGCCTTCGCACCGGCCGTGATGGCGAGGCTTCTTTCTCGGTGATAGGTTGGGGAGGTTCTTCTTCTTGGCCGGAGCCTCCGTGTCAGACAGCTCCGCTTTCAGACGGCTCTGGTTCCTCTCGGCCAGCGGGCAGCCAGAGAGGCAATGGTGAGCTGTGAACTTGCCAGTGACATGGCCAGAGCCATCACAGCCAGGAGTGGGGCACTTCCTGGGAAGGAAGAAGGCTTCACTCGGGCTGCTCTGCTTGTCCCCACTCAGCCCTCCCGGGTGCGGCCCTGTTGAGGTCTGGTGCGTCCTGATGGGCCTCACTCCGCAGGTGCAGGGCTCCTGGTGGGAGGCCTCCACTCACCGGTGGTGAAAGCTGTATTTGGAGGTCCTTGAGTGAGGCAGGCTCCTGTAGCTGAGAGGCGGGCAGCCCCCAGGGGAGGCAGAGCTGGGCTCTCTGGGCCCTGGAAGAGCAGGAAGAGGAGTCAACACAGAGTCCTAGGGTTGGAGGATGGAGGGAGGGCAAGGAACCCTTTCTGCACAGGAGTTGGTGCTAGGGACTAGTTCCCTGGGGACAGGGCCCTCTGTCACCATTCCTGCCACTGGACATCTGCCCAATGCTGGGGAAGGAAGGCTTGGTTCCCATAGACTTCCCTGAAACCTGGAGGCCATGCCCTCAGGTTGGGAGCCGGAAGCCCTACTCAGCTTAGCAGGCAGCCCTAGGTGGGGAGGAACAGGATCCCAGAATTGCTGTGGGCCCGTAGCCCTCTGTGTCAGAGCCGGGCACAGGGGCCAGAGTCCCTGCCAAGCTATAGGAAGGGAGGGTTTTCAGGGGTTGATGGGAAGGGAAAAGGGTAGGGTGCCCTAGGGGTACACACGGAGAGGAGGCTCCAGGGGATGTCCTGTCTTGGAGCACCAGCCTGCGGGGTGGATGTCTGGGTGGTCAGCGTCAATCCAGAAGTCATAGCTATGACTCCAGCCATCAAAGTGGAGCTGGGGAGGAAAGGCCCTTGGCAGTCAGGCATTCCTCAAGGAGCCCAGCTCAGCCAAGAAGTCCTCTCGGCTCCAGCAGGGTCTCCCGTCTTTGGGGCTATCAGAAGGAAGGAGCCAACCCTACAATAATCAGTTTTTTCTCGTTTCCCATGGGCTTCCTGATGAAATTACTGACATCTCCCATTAGTCCTTGGATAGGACAAGGATTATTAGGCCTATTTCACAGATGAAGACTAAAGCTCAGAGGAAAATGACTTGTTCAAGTCTCCAAAATAAGTCACACAGATGAGGCAACAAGGAGATCCAAAACCTTCAACTTCCTGTCTTGTGCCATCCCCTTGTCCCTGAGCCAGTCCACTGAATTCCTGCCCAAATGACCTATCACTGTCCCACCACTAGGGCCTTGGAGCCACCTTTATCCGATGGTCTTCCACATCATCCACGCTGGCCACACGTATCAGGGCTGGGTTCCTGCGGTCCACAGCTTCTAGCTTCATGTTGACCAAGAAGTTGTGGGGGGGTCGCTGCAGGGGGACAACTGCTTTCAGGCCAAGGCCCAGCTCCTTAGAGCTGAGGCTCCAGAATGAGAGCCCAGGTTCCATGGCTGGGGAGACTGTGGCCTGCCCAAAGGGGAAGCGAGGGCTGCTGAGCATTCCACATCTTTCTGAGTTCAGTTTGGGGAAAGGGAGCA